GTTGTTTGGCATGGTGTAGTGTGTTGGGCTATTGTGGCCCAGCAGTGGCCGGCTGAGCTGTTGGTGGACTCTTGACAGCGATGACCATTATGGGACTGCTCTGGAGAATGAAGAAAACTCTGGAAGGTGTTTGGAGTCAGAGCAGGGACTAGAGAGGCCGGTTGGCCACCAGGTGCCATCTGAGTCAAGGAGCAGTGAGGAGGAACAGAGGGAGATTGTCCCTGATATGCTTGTGCGTAGAGCTGAGAAAAAAGGGAGCAGCTGTGGAGAAGACGTCATAGAAGAAAACAGGGACAGGTGGCTACTGTTGTGGCCCCTCCCAAAGAGCTTATAAGTGGAGCGACGGGAGGGGAATCTTTGCAGGAAACAACAGTCCACTTTACTAGCCGTTGAGAAAGCATTCCGTAAGTCTAATCTTGGTTTCTTGAAAATAGCATTCTAGGCTCCTAGCCAAGGGGTGGCTTTATCTTCATCATTAGTCGTGGCAGACAGCCAAGTCTGTGTCTGCATATTCATTAGAATCATGGGACAGAACATGGGCCAATAAGTATTGATTAATTTTCTGACCCCATTGACAGGGGCCCATGCGCTCCAAGGCTTTCTTAGCTGATCGAACTGCCTGTTCCGCTAGCCCATTGCTAGACGGGTGAAAGAGAGCAACCAATGCATGTCTAATACCCAGACGAGCCAAAAAAGCTTGGAAAACCCCAGATGTTAATTGCGGCCCATTATCGGACACTAGGGTGTCCGGTAAGTCCATGTGTGGTGAATAGGCACCACAATGCTTTAATGGTGGCCTCTGATGTGGTAGTATGCATGGTAGATATTTCAACCCATTTTGAGAAGGCATCTACCACTATCAGAAAGTGATGGCCGTGCACTGGGCCAGCAAAATCTACATGTAAACGGCTCCATGGGCTCTTGGGCAATTCCCAAACCCTGGCTGGGGCCGCCGAAGGATTTGGTCGGGACAACTGACATGGCTGGCAGCCAGCCACCCAGTCAGCTATCTCCGGGTCCAATTTAGGCCAGCAGACATAGCTACGGCCTAAGGCCTTCATTCTAGCTATGCCTGGATGACCTTCGTGGAGGCGATGCAGAATGGGTGTCCGGAGAGGGGGTGGCACCACAACTCGCTTTCCCCATAACAAACAGCCCTTAAGTTCCGATAGTTCAAGCTGCCTTCGATAATAGGGTAGGAACTGCTCGGCTACTACTCTAGGCCAGCTTCTGTGGACCCAATCTAAAACCTGCGAAATAGTGGGGTTACATTTAGAGTCCCCGCTACATCAGTGGATGTTAAGGGCAAATCCAGATTGTCAATCATCAGGACAGTTGATGCAGGGGCTGGGTCTTGCGTTTCTATTAGTAAGGGACAGCGGCTCAAGGAGTCTGCATGTCCCATATGTTTTCCAGGCCGGAATTCTAAGTGGTAGCAATATGCCACTAAGAATTCTATCCAACGAGTCATCCTGGGGGACAGAATAGGGGGAGTTGGGCGGTCCCCTGTTATGATCCTAGCAATGGCTTGTGATCTGTTTGCCAGGTCGGCCATAGAGGTAGTGATGAAATCGTTTGATTCCCACTACGGCTGCTAATGCCTCTTTGTCCAATTGGCTGTAATTACGTTCAGCTTTGGACAAAGAGCGGGAAAAGTAAGCAATAGGAGCCTCACTGCCATCTGGGCAGCGATGGCTCAACACAATGCCTACTCCATAGGGAAAAGCGTCAGTGGCCAATATGAGAGGAAGTGACTCGCAGTACTGTATGAGCATTGCAAATGACGTCAACAGAGATTTGACAGCCATGAACGCATGCACTTCGCGGCTGCCCCATCCCCAAACTGCAGACAAGTCTTAAAGCCTTTGCAAGGGTTCCGCAATGGAAGCCTTGTGAGGTAAAAGCATACATAAAGGTTTAAGAGGCCCCAAAATGCTTGCAGCTCCGCTTTATTGGTGGGGATTGGAGCCTTTTTAATAGCCTCAATCTTTGAAGGGTTGGATGGATGCCCTTGGCACCAATGTGAAATCCAAGGAAGTCTACTGATTCTACCCCTATGTGGCATTTGGATTTTTTAAAATTTAAGTCCCACCTTCTGGAATCTGCATAATGCGGCCCTGAGCTTGTTAAGTAGGGCTTCCCTATTGTGTGCTGCAATTAGCACATCATCAAGGTAGGGTAATACCCCTGGCAACCCATGGAGCAATCACTCCATGATGCTTTGAAAAATGCCCGGTGCCACATAGACCCCAAATTGGAGTCTGCAGCACTGAAATGCTCCGTGATGGGTAACAATAGTTTGAGCATCAGCCGTGCTGTCACCCACAGTCAGTTGCTAATAAGCTTGTGCTAGGTCAAGCTTAGCAAAGCTTAGCGACCTCTGCCCAGTGAATACAACAGGTGTTGCACCACCGGCACAGGGTACGGATGTGCCTGAAGGGCCTTATTTAATGTTGATTTGTAATTCTCGCAGATCCTAATGGATCCGTCTGATTTGATTGGAATAACTATAGGGGCCTTCCACTTAGTGTAATCTACAGGCTCTAATATTCCCTGTTGCAGTAATTTGTCCAACTCCAGGTCTACTTTACTTTAGAGTGCAAACAGAACTCTCCTGGCCCTTAAACATATTGGGGTAACACTAGGGTCTAAATTTAAAGATATTGGGGATCCCTTATATTTACCAAGGTAAATATGAAGACGCTAATGACGTCTTCAAATTCTCTAGCAAGATTTTCAAAGTCAACAGTGCAGTCAATGGAGTGGATACCTGTAATGGAAAAACCCAAAGCCACAAACCACTCCGACCCCATTAAAGTAGCCAATGGCCCGTCCACCACCAGTAAAGGCAGGATTCCTTTAAAGTGGCCATGCTCCACAGTGAACATCCCTGTTCTCATAACAGGAATTGGATTGTTTTGGTAATCCCTTAAAGAGCAGCTGCCGGAACCAAATTGGTTTTTTTTAACTTTGGGCAGCAGCCACTTGAGGGTCCCCCAGGCTATGATGGACTTAAAAGACCCTGTGTCCATCTCCATTTTACATGGAATCCCCTCAATCAGTACATTGATGAACATCTTGCTGCTGGGGTTTTGACATGATGCGGTATTGACGGTTTCTTCATTGTTGTCCCTGCGGTCTATGGCGTGGCAGTCATCTCTGGTCTGAAATGGGCGCCTGCCCTTAGGTCAGTTGGTAGAACGACTAGTCAGCTGGTCAGTATTTGGGAGGTTGGCAAGGCAGATATATGCAACATGTTCTGTTTTGCCACAACGCCGGCAAATGGAAGACTTGAAGCGGCAATTCGAGCGCCTGTGGTTACCTTTCGCAACTCAGGCAGCCAGTCTGAGGCGATTTTGTGGAAGGCTTCCAGGGGCTGTTTGCGGATGATTTAAGACAATTAACTTCATCAGCTGCCCATTTTTCGTGCTCATTGTCAGCCACTTGTTGATTGACTGTGGCTGCAGCTGAGGACCCATCGTGTGTGGCTTGAAATCTCCGAATTTCGGCCACGGATAGCTCTGACTACTCAGCTGCTCTTGCCTCATCCAAGGCAACAGTCAAAGTTAGGTCGGACTTCACCAATAATCGTCACTGAAGCTGCAAATCTCTAATACCGCAGATTAATTGTTCTAACAAGGCTTCTTCTAAATCTGGAAAATCATAGTAAATTGCTGCATTTCTAAGAGAAGCCATGTACTGGCTTATTGATTCTGCCTCTTTCTGCCTACAAAGGTGGAAAGAGTATCTTCTAGTGAAACGTGAGGGAGCTGGAGCATGGTGCCCCTTCAATTTAGCCAGTATAGTTTCCAATGGCACCGTATGCACAGAGGCGAGAGCGACTAGAGCTCGAGCCATGGAAAATGTCTCCGGGCCACATACACTTAAGAAATATCTCCTCTTTCTCTCGGTGGATATTTCGGTAAAGTCATGTGCTATGAGGAAACATTCAAATCTCAGCATGAATGTCTCCCAGGATTCCTTCTCAGGGGCAAAGGCAGCAAAAGGAGGTATCACCATCATTTTAGCCACGGGTGTTTAACTGAGGTGGTATATCTGAGAGAACGCAGCAATTTCCTCAGGATCCCACCTCGTCACCAGTGCTATAGCCTGTGCCCTGAGGGAAGACATGGAGACAGCTCTGCTACAACAACAATTTATTTAACACTAACTAAGAGCGAACAACTTCTAACATGATAGCTCTTTTATAGTCGAGCTGTCAAAACAGTTAACCAATGGGAAGCCTGGAATCTTTCCGCCAGACTGCAGTCGCGTCGGGACCAATCAGTGCTTGTATACTGCTTGACTGACGTTCCTGGCCGTAGTCATGACAACGCAGCAGTCTCAATCTTCCAAAGCACAAATAACTAGAAAAATCTTATGTCCTGACTGCATCTGAGGCATGCCCATAAAAATTAAATACTCCATTATTATGATTCATGTATTTTGCCAAACAAATGGCCAATACATAAATTTTCCAAAAAGGGCATCTTTGTGTATATGTGTATGTGCATAGCTATGTTTCTCTAAACATACATATATATACATTTTCTTTATTTATTCTCAGTTGTAGCCTTTGTAATCCTATCAAATCCAGTTTAGAGAAAAAAATTCCCCAATGTTCTGAGTAACAGAAAATGCAAGAGACTGTAATGGATAGAGAAGCACACACGAACAGGTCAAAATGTTTTCTTTTAGGATCCCAAAAGAACAACATTAGGAAAAAAGTTTCTAGAACATTTGGCTAGATTGGGAGCGGGGGGCAGAGTTCATAATTCTTCTTCTTAAAACTTTGCTTCAAAATAATATTTGGAGAAAGAGCTGTAATTAGTTGAAAAACTGGTTTCAAAAAATTAGCTTTCTCTCAACAAGCACCAACCGAAACAATCGAGCATCCAGCCTTCCATTCTGATGTAGTCAAAACCCTGACTGACTTTCACATCTAGGAAATTCAAGAGTTTCATTTTCAATGGTCATCTCATATATCATCCATCACCTACCTATCTTCTGTATACTGATTAAATGAATCCAATGAGGGAATATAAAACTGCTTCTGAACATCAAGTTTAACTGCAACTTTCAAATCAAATTGAGTCACATAGAAGATATTACAGGTATTCAGGATTGAACTGTGCATGATTGCTGCTTTCTGAACTTGGCTATTTGCCTGAAGTGGGAACTTTTTCCTTGCAGAAGGAACTACCACAGACCACAACCATCCCACTTATCACTGGCAAGATAAATTACTGTATATAACAGGGAGCAAACCCCACACACATTATGATTGGTGATATTGTCTACTTGGATAATGAAACCTTCGCAAGCAAACAAACAAGCTCAGAGAGTGCCAAGGACCTCCCAATACTTGACTGCACATTGCAAATTTGGCATAGGATCATTTATACCTTTAAATACAAATATTTGCAGTTTAAATAATTATTGTATTTGTAAGACTTGGAGGTCACTTCAGGCAGCTAACTCAGAGTGGAGTACAACCCGTTAACATGTAATTTGGGTTTAAAGAGCAGTGCAGATCAAATTCAAAGCCAAATAATGATAACCGATACAATTTAAACAAATGTAGATCCTCTGGTGGAAAGGCTATTAGAAGTATCTGCAAATTGAGCCAGTTGACTTCATGGGTTTCCTTTTTGACCCCCTACTCTTCCTCCTCTGCCTTTAGAGAGGGTGATAAAAAACAATGAAGCTGGTGGCCATCACCACTTGACTAAAGCACTGTCCTTTTTAACATTTGTTATGTATGTAAAGCAGTTAAGGGGGGGGGGGTCTTGATTTTTTTCCATCAACCTACCATGGATATCTCTGCTTCTTTTAATTGTTATATTTTTTTTAAAATGGGAACCCTAAAACAGACAGCCCTCCTTGGTAAAATAAGATAAAGTAAGATAAAAGTATCTTTGTTGCTTGTATCCTTACAATTTATATTGATATTGTTTCTTGATTGCTTATTTGTACCCTAGGACTATCATTAAGTG